GCGTTTCACATGAGAAACCAGAGAGTTTCACATGAAAAAAACAGAGTTTCACATGAAAAACCAGAGTTTCACATGAGAATACAGAGTTTCACATGAAAAGCCAGAGTTTCACATGAGAAACCAGAGAGTTTCACATGAAAAAAACAGAGTTTCACATGAAAAACCAGAGTTTCACATGAGAATACAGAGTTTCACATGAAACACCAGAGTTTCAAATGAGAAAGCAGAGTTTCACATGAAAAACCAGAGTTTCACATGAGAAACCACAGTTTCACATGAGAAACCAGAGTTTTCAGCTGAATTTCTGGAATAATCTCTCAGTTTTGAATTGAGAACGCTCCTGGACAGGAAATGAAACGCCTCCAGCTTCAGAATAAAAGCTCGACCTGATGACTGAGAATCTTCATCGGTKTGTCAGAACGTTGTGGGGAATGACTCTCAGATACTACCACATMTAAACTTCAGCTCATTAGGTTTTGTTATGACTGATCAGGACTGRTATTCTTTGATCTTCATTCTTATTTCTCAGATACTGATAAAAATGTAACAGCTTAAAAACCAAACTTGTTTACAATTACTGAACAACTAAAAAAAATCAACAGGAATGTTTCTGCAGAGAAAAGCATCAAACTGCTCCTGGCTTTCTGAAGAAACTAAAACTTCACCTAAATGTAAAAATCTTATCATGACTGAGACTAACTCTCTTTTTTTCTCTGGTCCAGGTCAAAGGCACCATTTCTTTTTAACACGCAGATTTAAACTGTTGTTTGAGGTTTCATCCTGTCAGATTCAGTTATCAGTGGACTGAACACAGGAAACCCTACAGGTCATGTAGGTTTTACTACGTATCTTCTGTTGTTATCAGACTTTCAGCAGGAAACAACAAGCAGTTAATTTCTGTGAGCAGCTTTAATCCTTGCCTGCTACCAAAACATGGTTGTCTCAGAAAGGAACGCTTGTTCAGATATTAGAAACCAGACTGTTGTTCGGCTTGTTTACACATCAGTGTGAATAAAAAGTGGTGTGCCGGTGGAGAAGGCAGCCCTGTTCTCAAAGTGGAACAGCCGGGTACTTTGTCACGTGACCATGTTGTAGACGGAGGCTGACATGTTGGTTTGGAGGAAAACAGGATGAGTTCCTCTGTGTGGAAAATAGGAAAAATTGTGAAAAGTTGCTGTAGGACTGCATTTCTCATAAAAAACATCCAGAGATAAAATGTTATTTTTTTTCTAACCACTAAAGTGCTGGGAAAGAAATGATGTGTTGTCATTCCGCCTCTGCAGACCTTCCTGCTTCTCCTTGTTTAAAAAGAATTGCCTCATTATTTTGATTTAAAACACTAAAACTGGCCAAAATGAAGAGTAAACACTCAAAACTACACACTAACTATAAAATCCAAACATGTTAAAAGTCACAGATCTAATTAATAAAGTCCTGCTCTCACCGGCTCTTCATTGCCACCAGTCTCCATTCAAATTTCGCCTCTTTTTATTTTCTTCTGCCTGTAGATTTTTTACTGTTTGTCAGATAACTTTGAGCCTCAGTTACAAAGGAGGTCTGAGGGGTTATATTTGTTCGGTTTAAGAGAAAGATGAGACTGACGATGGACAGAGGTGTTTTTCTACAAGATTACCATGTTTCCTGCTCCCTTCAGCTGCAACACGCTTCAAAATAGAACGTCCATTTTCAGAAAAAAATWGTAAGATATGCTATTTATCGCAACTCTGGTTTTCTTCTCTTGACCTAACGACAAAATTTAAAAACTGCTGTATAGTTTGAAGTCTCCACTTCTGACAGTTTGTAACGGAGTCTCATGGGTTTTACCCCATAAAAAATGGAGGTTGGAATCACGTGACTGAATGACATCACGCCGACTTCGAGAATGATCAGTCTGTGTCCTGAAGACTCTTTTATTCGCTGAGGCCTTCCAGCCAGTCATGAAGAGCACAGAGAAAKGATTTATTCCTGCTCTGCACCCAGCGTCTGTTTCATCTGTTAGCATCAGGCAGGCGAGACTGATTCAAACTGAAACTGTGGTTAAAAAAGTGTCAGAKCCATGTGTTGCTGTTTTATATTAAAACCATCTTCTAGAGCATGAGTCAMAACCATCCAGACTGAACCTAACCGTTATTACAAAACTTGTCAGAACACACCCACCCCACATAGCACTGCTCACCCAGGGGACACGGTGGGCGGGGCTTGGTACTCATCATCCTGAAGGATTGTTTTTATGTTTATTTTAAAAAGGAGGTGATGATTGATGTGACTCTGAGCCTGGGCAGAACCTGAAGCTCCAGTCGCTCTGGTTCTGTCTGAAGCACAGCGAACACACTGTTCTCACCTGTTAGCAGTTCTGCAGCACACCTGGAGCAGCTGTGAGTCCGGATCTTTCTGGGTTCACCTGCTGCACCAGAGCTGTAAATAAAGCTTTATTTTAGCTTCCAGTGTTCACAGTTAATGACCTGCACTGACTTGTTTTKCTTTTTCTCCATGTGTGGTTCCATCTTGTGACCAGGGGCGCCGCCAGGGGGGCCATGGCCCCCCCTGAGAATAAGCTGGCCNTTTGTTGTTAAAATCACTTCAGTCTTTTTACAAATTCATGATGTTTTTAACAAATATGATCAGTATCTGGGAGGATAAAAAGGGATGAACTGTGTTACCACAAACTGGAACGATTATTCTACACATGTGACCTAAAAGCTTTGGGTTTGACAGATCAGAGCATTAAAACGAAAACAAAACTTCAGTAGTTGAATTTGAAGGAACAAGTGTGTGTGTCTGCAGTAAGTTTTTTTTAAAGTCATCACTCCTGAGTAAAGCTGACAGGTGTTGGCCTAATAGGATTGGAGAGAAATATCACATCAAAAGATGTCACCTGCTCCCTTTAAATGGCTGTAATTAGTACTTTCTGTAAAACCAGATCAGATTACAGAAGAGCTGCTCTCTGATGGGTTCGCTGCAGAACTTCAGAACAAGTATGTGAAAGAACATAATGACAATTATCTCAACAAGAAAGTGATTAGAAATAATAAAAGGTAAACAGTTTGTGCCATGAGAGACAGGAGGTCTGGTGTATCACAGACTGGATGTGAGTTATTTTACTAACAGAATGCTGCTGAGAGTGGAGCTGACCATCTTTCAGTTTGTTTGTAGGTCGTAAATCTTTTTTTTTTACTTTGTTATTTTAAATTGYGGTTATGTTTAGGGTTAAAACAATGCAGTTGTGTTACATCGTGAGTTGCAGCTACATATAGTCACACTGTTGTGGTGGATGTAAGGAAATAGACTTGTTGTTAAACTCACAAACATTAAGCACCTGTGGAGACAGCATCACTGAACATTGTACTGACTTTTAGGGGCTGATTTATCAAAGGTTTGCATGAAGAAAAACATGTGCAAAACTTGATAAAATGATCAAAGCTGATCTTCTAACTGCATGCAGAGGATTGAGTAAAATGACAAACACAACCCATTTAGCATGTTTGCTGAGGCACTTGTGTGACAGTTTTACATACTGTATTACCACATGATTCAATACAGTTTGATTCAACAAGAAAAAATAAATGAATGCTAAATGATACTTTCTTTACTTTTCTTTTTTACAGACAACTCTCTTAGAGGCAGAGACATAAAACAAACAGCATCTTCCATGTTTGTGATGGAAGACTCTAAGCTTCTTTTAGCAAATGTACCATAACATAAACCAACGTTTAGAGCAAATATCACATCTAAACACTTCTATAATTAAACTGCATTTTCTCAGCATAAATAAAAGATATTCAAWCCAATAATACTTTGTGTCAAGCTGGGCACTGAATTAGTCCGTAAAGCCACTTACATGTGCTGAACTCGGCCCTACCAAGGTTGATTCAGGGCAGGTTCAGGTGGGCCCACCCACTTTCAGCTCTGAGTTTAGAACATTTAGTGTATTGTGTTATTGTTCGTT